GGAGGTGATGAACTGTTAACTGTTACATCACCGTCATGATTCCAGTTAGGGTGTTTCGAACACAAGCTTTGCAGTTGAGAGAAATGCACTGAACTCACTTGTTACAGCAGCTTGTGGTGCCAAGCATATTGTCCCAGACTTAAGAATTGATTCTTCTCTAAAATAAAGGTGAGCAATTGGTAACTTCCTAGTTGAATGAACTAGGCCTTCCTCTCTCGTTCAGAGTGTATGCTCATGCACTGAGTCTTTATGCAACTCATGTGGCATCCAAAAACACAATCCTGGTCTTCCTTCAACTTCCCTACTTCATCTATTACCTAGTGGTTTTCCTCAGAAATAGCTTTAGAACTATCTTCTGGTTTGTTTACCTGCCTGACACCAGGTGATTTGGGACTCTAATGCTGTAATGCTTTTGGCAGAAGGAACCCTGGACTTCTGTATGAGTTAACAGGAGAAACAGACCGCAGCATTTCCTCCTTCTGGAGGACGAGAGTCCTGAGGGCCTTGTCTTTCAAGACCAAATCATGAAATAACTCAATCTAGCTTTGTCTCACCTTGTTTAAAAAAATTAAAAAAAAAAAAAAATCCAAAGGCTGTAGAAAGCAGTAAATGGGTAAATAGCAGTAGTTGAGAAGGTGGGATAATGCTGGAGGATGTTATGTTACTCAGCTTCAGGTGAAAAATAACCTTTAGTTACTTTTCTAGTGCAAATAGTTGATTTCCCAGCAAAAGTGCCTTTACTCACAGTGAGGCAGAAGTTTGTATTCATATCATGAGGCTGCTACTGCCTGTGGAGTTAGCAAGACTCTCCTAAGGCATGATTCAATATCAGGCTGCGGGAATCTTTAATAAGTAGGTTGACTTAAAATATATATATATATATATATATATAAAAAAGAAAAAAAAAAATCAGTTATTTCATTTAGTGCTCTGTGAAATAAGGGGAATGCTCATGAAACAGTGAACTTCTGTTGTCACAGACAGAGGGAAGTCTTTAAAATGAAGCAAGCATGTCCTGCGAGCAGGAGATGCTGACTGCCCTCTGTGTTCACTGGGTCGTTTTTGTCGTAGTGACAGCTCGGTGCAGTGTAAGAGAAGCTGGTTGCTTTGTGAAGCAGCCCGAAGTGGGGCTCATTCATGTCATGATCTTAGTAAATCTAGCCTTAATGTGAGTTGCGGATAAATGTGATAAATATGCAATAACTTTTACTTCCTTGTATAAGGGTACTGTTCCTTGTAGCAGCATTGCTTTTCTGCTTCCTCAGTAAGGTTGCTAAAACAACAGGAGTGCGGCAGCATGTGACCTACCCTTTGGTTTCCATCATGCCCCGCACTGTGAACACTTTGGATTGTTTACTATTACTAGTTCATGTTCTTATTTCGCCATCATTTTATAATTAAGTATATTTTCAAGTTTAGAAGTATACAGTTTACATTAGTTTCTGTAAAACAGTGAAGAAATTACAAGTGAGGGATAGATTTCAGTGAGTTTTTATTTCCTGAGAACTAGACACAGAAAAATGAGTAACTGTTTGCATGTCAGACTCAAGCTCATGTCAAGATACTTGAAAATTAAACATTACTCCATTTATGCTTAGGGCTAAAGCAATTCAGAATGCTTGCCTAGAAGGGGTTATTCAGAGTATGATTGGTCACTCAGTGTTCTTGAAATTAAAGAAGACATGGAATTAACCAAACTTTTAGCTAAAACAAAACAAAACAAACAAACACGTTTGGGTACCAGGAATGAATCTAGTACTAGTTTGCAGTTTCTAGAACGACATAAATTCCATGTTCATTGTGAAATTTCAACCATCTCTCCTTTGCAGAGTGGTTTGAACTTTGACTGAAGAGTGATTTGCCTAATTGAGTTAATTATGTCCTGTGCTGAAATACTAACTTCAACTCCTTGATGCACATGCATGCTTTTTAAAGTATCTGTGTCTTGTGTAGTTTGAAGTCAGGAAATAGCAGTGTTGAGAAGAGGGTAAATAGCTTTATTTACTGCACAATCAAAGTATTTCTTTTTTATACAATGTAAATTTCTTAGACCAAACTTGCAAAATTGCTTGTAATAGAGTTCTGGGCCTAGTCATTGTTTCAGGCTTCTGTGCTGTGCTCCAACCTTCCTGATTTGATTTAGTGAATTGAGAACAATGCTTACTGTTTCTTCCTTCACCTACTTGCAGCTGTAATTTATGGAACAGTTGCTTTTGAAAACAAGGCAGGATTTGGGTTTGGCTGTTCCTAACAGACTTGCTCTCAGATTGGAAATTATTTATTCCAACCCTTACTCGCTGTAGTAGGTTTGCTTTTAATGATTTGCAGTGTATAGCAGCACTCGTGTCATTCTGGTGTAAAGAGCAAGAGCCTACATTAAGAACCCAAGCTCCAGTAAATACCCTGTGGTACAAAATGGTCTTGCTGCTCCACGCGTGACTGGCTTTCCAGTTGTTGGGTCAGTGAGCCATTTAATTCTCAGCTACCTGTTTGCTGTTTGTTTTTCACAATTTATGAGCAACAGAGCTTTTTTTTTTTTTTTTTTTTTTCCCAGAGGTAAAGTCAGGTGCCTTTATCTTTTAAATAAGGAAGTTAAACTGTAAACTTGTTCGGAAGCTCAAGACTATTGAGAGCTGGTAGAATAGCCTCTCTTGTTGATTTAGAAGCAGTTTATTTATAGGAATTTGAGCTTGCACTGTTACTGTTAAAGGGTCTGGTGCTTATACATGACTTCATACTAATTTCAGATTGCTTTTGTTATTACAATATGTCAGCTTTTGAAGCAACCAAAATTATTTAAGATGTGGTAAATTTCTACTAAATGAAGGTGCTTTAACAGTAAATGAGGCTTGGCGATGTCACTACTCTTGCATAGTAGGTTTCTGTCCTTATGCAGTTATAGCAATAGTCTAGGTCAGGAATGAAAGAAGTAGGCTAAATGCTCGTACTTGCACTGTTCTCCATACTGTACATAAGCACTGATAGATACAGTAGTACTCGTGCTGTGTGTGCATTTCACTGTTTCAAGTAGGTTGTGAACTTATAAGCAAGACAACTTTTGTAGCAATTACATTGGCCATATTCAAAATCATGCAAGATAAAATGTCTTGGATTAGTCAGAGTACATGAAAAATGAATGCTTGGGTTGTAACGTGTCTTTTCATTGAAAGTGTTAGGTTAAACTAGACCAACTGTACAGGTTCCACCTTGCAGGAACACCTGTCTTCACACAGCTCTCAGCTGTGGACTGCTGGGAAGGAAGTGTAAGAGCCTTCAATTCATCCCTCAGTACTCGGGGGGTGGGAAGCGTGTCTTTCTGTAATCGTCAGGAATTTTCAGGGTACAGAATGCTTAAAATTGAAAAGGTCCGCCCTGAAATGTATGGAAAATACTGATGAGTATTTTATCATTCTTAAGCATTTACATTGTTTAGCAGAAGAACTAGCTTTTGATTTGTTTGGTGCCCTGAAGAAAGTGATTACACCCCAAGGGGTGTAAATCATTGTAAAACAAGGCATTGATAGCTTTTTAAGAATATAGCTCCTAGAGACTCAATTCTCTATTACACACCTCTCACTGACAAAAATTTACTTTGCAAGGTTTTTTAAGCATGTTTGAGTAAAATTTTTAAACTAAGGAGTTGAACCATTTATTCTTACTGTTGGGTACGTATTTTTGTTATGCAGGAAAGGTTTGTAACATTGCATGAGTAGGCACTCTCAGCAAATAACTTCTCAAGCCTATACTTAAAACAGGATCCTTAAGTAACTTTACCATGTCTGCATGGCATTGCAGTATGTGGAAGCAGTACTTCAACTGTGAGGAGCAGTCTAGCTGGGTTTGCAAGGCACTTTAACATGAGAAACAAACAAAACAAAACAGACCCCACAGAGCTAGGTGGGGTTTTGTTGGTTAGTTTTGGCGTAATGCTGAATCCTTGTACGTGTTTTAGGACCTAGGCTGACTCAGGAACCGCTGCCCAAAGAAAACTTTTCTGTGCAGCATTGCATGCCTTGCAGAAAAACAGGGAGCCAGTGTTTTATTATATGGCTCATGCATGATGGGTTATGTCTTCCTCCTGTTTCTTCTAAGCGCAAAGACTTAATCTGTTTTCCTCACTGGTATGTAAGTGGCATATCAGTGCCAAGTGTAAAGTACTTACAGCTAGTTGTGAGTTGAACCTATGTAAAGATTTTATCCAATTTCCATTATGTTGTCTTGAAGAGGGCTTGTATTGGTCAGCTCTTCAATTTTAGCAAATAAAATCAGTAACTACCTGTAACAAATGTTGTATTGATGATTGTGATTTAATTGTTACTCAATGATTTGGAAACTGAAGCACACCAGTAAAAAGGCTATGACTAAATTGACAGTTTCTTCTATAATGTAATTTTTCTCTAAAATTAAATGATTTTGTGTATAAACTTGTTTGAACATGAGTGTTACTGATAAGTGTGAATTGTGAAATCTGTCCTGTTTATTCCTTCACTGTAGACTGTTTAAACTAATATTGCCTTAAACAAATTAGCAGCACTGACCACTTCTATGTGCCAGTTAAAAGCATTATCATTTCCAGAACTATTTCTAAAGGTGGATGAGGGGCACATCAAACACCAAGGGGTAGCAAACATGTTTATTTAAGTGTTAGATGTACTGAAGAAAGGAAGTACACAAATTTCAATCACTGCTTTTAAAGTATTTATGAAGTAGCATATTTTTTGGTTCACATAATTTAATTTGTCATTAAAAGGTTTCATTTGTGCCCTTCCATTTCTGTAAAGTGTTCCTTGACATAGGCAGCTCCTGGCAAGTACCCTAAGATCAGATCTCCAGTGAGCTCTTTCAAACTTTTCACGTCCCCATTGTGGGAACACTGCTGGCCGTGCCATACCATCTCCCTCGGTCGCCTTCTCTCAGGGAAGGTGACTGCGGTACCTCCTCCTGGAGCCCCTGAGCAGCAAGGGGCCCAGTACGGTAAGGCAACCCCCAAGGAAAAGAAACAGCATTAGAAATTTATTCAGAATATAAGAACATTTGTAAAATAAGTATTATAAATGTCTCTGTATAAATAAATGCAGTTTTTACAATTCTATATCAAATAAACACAAAATAGCTATTTTACAGCGGCTAGGAGACTAAAAAGCAGCAACACATTTAAAGCTAATTGAAAAGGGTGAGAAGGATCTAAAATTACAATGTATGGTACAGTATTAAATGAGAAAGTCCTAATAGAAACAGAAGAACAATACTGACATTAATGCAAACTTACTCACATGTGCTTCGCAATAGCTAACAGTACATTCAAGCTGGTGAAGATTTATATGTTCAATCAGAAGAAAAGTACTGAACACACTGAAATACAAAATTTCATGCACTCTGGCAATTTAGAAAGTAAAAAAGACACCCTAAGATGAATTAATTGAGTGAACAACTTCGGTGGGTCTTGCCAAGAGAATCTATTTCCCTTGCTGTGCACGATTATTCTGCAACAGTTAAATGAGTGAAGTTGCTGTGATTTGCACCAGTGGTGTACAGGTCACACGCATCTGGCTCTAGGCTGGTGTACTTGTGTTTCCAACAGGTGCCAGGCAGTGACAGGAATTTGGGTTTTGGTATTTAGTCCCAGGACTGGTGACATTTCCACCAGTACACTGGAACTACAGCCACTGGTGTTACGAATCAGTTCCCACCACACCAGTAGAGCTTCCGCCACTTCCCTATTGGCCTTTTCCAGCATGCCAACAAATAAAGGGAGGGGTGGGGCGAGTAGCTCTTTGCTCAGAGTAACTTGTTTGGGCAAGTAACAGCTGCTGCTGGGGCTGAATGACACTGGCCTTTTTTTCTGGGAGTCCTATGGGAAGAAAGGGAAAGTGACTTACATGTGGTTATCATGTGTAAATTATTCTAGAACACTTTTGGAGCACGGTGGGTGTGGGACGTACATGGAGAATGCAGTGAACCAGCATTCAGTTGTGCAGAACCTGCAAATCATGAGGCCTTAGAAAGACACTGAGGGGCACTGCAACTTCCCATGCGTCTAACTGAGGGGCATTTATGCTTTCCTAGTGCACACCTTTTCTATAAAGAGAGGTTTCAGTTCAAATGCTTTAAGTTTTATCGTGTTCTGTGTACTTAACAGCTTCTTCAGGTACCACAGAATGGAAAAAATTGAGCCTGGGGAAAGGCGGTGTAAGAGCAGTTTCTAGCTGTTGTAAGTGACAGGCATTTCACAGTGACAGTGTGAGACGACCTCACGTTAGACGGGTGCTTTAGATACAAGAGGACAGAAGTGTAAGTGCACTTCTGCCACGGGAACAGGTCCACTGCTCTTCAGAACGCTTCTTCAGAAACAAGTGTGGTCAGCTGCTGAAACACGGCAAAAACTCACGTTCCTGTTGGTGAGAAACTTGTTGACCAAGAAGAGAAACACCACGGACGTTTAGCAAAACCAGAGTGACAATAAGAAATCAATGTATTTATTCCCTCAACAGTAGGGTCTCAAAAATTTCCATTTGCATTATAAATTAAGTACAATTCACTTGACAAAAAAGACTGACCAAAATCAACCCCAAGGCATCACCACCAACTTAATTTTGAAATCAGCATTGTTTTAATGTGCTATTGCAATCAATCACGTATGATGCTGGCTTTGTAGCTGATGTGTCAGACTCTAGAAAAGTATGAAATAGTTAGTACCCTAAGGAAAGAAGAGAACGGCAGCAACAGTAGAACAGCATAGAAGTTTCCTTCCACATGCTTTCGGAATTTCCTGGTCTTACGTGTCAGTAAGTGAAATAAGACGTCAGCAATGAAATCCAGAAGTCGTGAACACAAACTGCTTCAGGGCCAGTTGTAACCAACTGCTGACAACAATGCTGCATTCTTAACACAAATTCTCACAACTGTTTGGCTGCCTGGCCTTAACCTCTACTAGACAAAACCAGTTCAAATCCTCTAAAAATATTTTGTTTCTACTAGAAATTGTAGGACTAAATGAGAGACGTTATCATAATTCTAAATACACTATAATAAAACTTGAGATGCAACTCAGCAGGTAAAGCAAAAACAATAGACAGCTCCTCAAGTCGGGTTCACTGGCGAGAACACAGCTTGAAAAATGCGAACTAGAGGAGTAACAGCAACAGGCTAAAAGTTAACGGACTCCAGTTCGGCTAAACTAGAACCAGACTTAAACATGGAAATTGTTTTATGCACTCAGTCAAGAAGAACTAACGTCTGTCTGAAACAGGTTCTAGGGCAGTCTCCATCTGCTCCCTAGAGAAACCAACCTGATCCCCATGCCGCACTTGACATTCGTTGCCATAATAGGCCAGTATTTTTCCATTCACTCACTTTGATAACACATTAACATGATGTGACTTGACTTAAACAAAACAACAGTAAAACTAACAAAAGTTAACCTTACAAAGCTGCATGAAGACATCATTCACATTCTGCTTGTGGCTGTATATCCATACACCTACACATTTATAGTTTCGTGCATATTTATTCAGTACTAAACAGGTACATTCCTAGTAAGTACCTTTTTTGGTCACAAGTGTAAAAAGATGACGTTCTACTTCGTGATTGTAGAAGGATGTACTAAAGGCTCTGTAAGTAACAGAGATGGCCCAGCCTCTTAAAGAAAACTGTGGCTATAATGCACTGACATGATAACTCAATTTTCACAAAATAACCACAAGCACCATGCAAGATAAATACCAGGAAATGGCCTGTGATTTAACCACCCTTGGCACAGACGGTCTACCTGGCATGGTAAAACTTAGAGCCTCTACACCTCTCGCAGACGATTCCTAGGAAATGTACCATCCTTTGAAGAGATGCAATTAGTTGATTAGTTGTGTTTTGTTTTCCCTCCCCAAATCAACAGCAGTTTTCCTACCTGATCTGCACTGGGAGCAACAGTACTGCAGCCGTGGTGCCCAGAGCAAACCGGCCTGCTGGCTCCGTGCTCTGCAGCTGCCTGCCTGGCTCCTTGCCCACAGCAGCGAGTTTGGAGGATGCAAAACGCGGCTGTGTGTGGAGGGACTTGGGAGTCAGCAAAACTCAAACTATCTCCGACCTGCCCAAACTAAAATCTATTAACATGAAGCATTTTGTTACGTGACACTGTCATCCGTAGGACATAAAATGGAGAAGAACATGTATAAGTATAGACATAATGACAGACAATGTACATAATCATAGCACGATAATTCAGGCACTGCCATTTTACATTATTAAACAGTCCTTAGTTAATGTTTAGATTATCCCCATAACTCCTGGCTGGACAGCTGAGATCTAAGAGATGGTGCTAAACTGTGTTGACAGTCAGGTATTCTAGCATACAAGCAACCTAAAAGCCAGCCTCCAAAAGAAAGAAATTTGTAATGGCACTATGCATCTTTGAAAAAGATGCACTTAAAGTGAAGTTTCATTGGTGTGTGGTCTTGAGTTCTCTTCTTCTAGTAAAGCTATTCTTTGTTTCAGCATCCTTACTTGCGTTTCATGCCTCTCCACCATGGCCATCATTTGCGATTCCAGTTTCTTCAGCTTATTTTGATGCTTTTTCTTTGCTTTTTCATAAGCTGCTACCAAGTTGCTGTTAGAAACAAATACAAGGTCATTCAAAAAAGCTTGCTCACAGCAACTGAAAACAAAACAAAACATAACCTAACCTAGCCTAAAAAAAACAACAACAAACAAACAAACAACAAAACAAAACAATAAACACCCTGCCACCTTCAGGGAACTACAGAATTTGATACTGATCCTTTTCCTAAAACTGATGTAGCCTTAAAACTCACTTGATCCAAACCTCAGTGATCCAGATCTGGATCAATCTTGATCTGCTAACCTCTGTACCATTTTTGGTTAAGCACACGCTCTTCCCAGTTACTGAAAACATCCTTAAACATGGTTCAAAGTGCTGGCTAATGGGTGCTTGTGATGACCGCGCAGAGCACTGAGACTCAGTGTGCTTCACGTTAAACATGTAATGCTTTACAGAAGGATTCTCATGTGGCCAGAACCCACTTACAAAAAACCAGCACCGAGTAAGCAGGCACATTTAAAAACTAACATGATGTCTGTGGCATCTTGCGCTAATTTATCAGCTGCTAAGTATCGTGTATGCCTCCACCTTGATTCAGCAGGGAAGCGTGTGGTGGGTGTTCTTCCTTACCACAAGGGCCTTCGCTACTAAACGTAATTTACTAATGAAAATTACTCTGTGGACTTGCAAGAAAGGCAGGTACAGTCCATCATATTTGCAGTTCATCCAGACCTGCTGACTAAGCTGTGTAAGTGCGACTATTGAACCCAGTTTATTAATAAGGAGGCCGTAACCAGAGAAAAAGAAGCAAATTTAAACAAAATAACAAATTCATATATCTGACTAAATGGAAGAATTTAGTTTTTTGTTTGTTTTAATATTAATAAATTTACTAGTAACTCAGTTAAGATTAACCTATTTATTTTCCCCATTCTGCTTCTGGCTATGTAGTCTTCAGCATCCTACAAGGGACGCTTCTATCCCCCATGTCTAACCTTTAGGATTCAACTTGTGTGAATGCAAGCATCTAGAAACTGGGCATTGTGGCAGGGGGAAGAGTACAGTATGTTATGAGAACATGGCAAAAAAAATCAATGGTCCATCCATTTGCTGGCAGATCCTTTACCTGTTTGCCCTCTTCAGGTCATTGACGAATTCTGCAGACTGCTGATGTCTGATTTCACTGCTCTTTGTGAGTCTCTCCAAAGCACTCACTAGCTCTTGCACTCTAGCTTTCAGTTTCTTCTCCCTGGATCAGGAGAAAAAGAGAGAGAAAACTACTTTCAAAACAGAAATAACACTTCAGCTTACAAAAGCATGGGTGGTAATCAAGTTTCTTCCTATGTTGTTCAGCCTTCCCACAGGCTGAAAATATTTTCTTTAACACTACCTAGACAATGCAGGAGGCAGTTCTTCTGTTAAACTTCTCCAAAGACTGAGTTTACACAATTCACCATTTTAGAATATAGGCTCAGAGGTGCGGCAGACAACAGAGAAAACAAGCTTCTCTGTTGGATCATGTCCCTCTACGTACCAAATCACACCAACAAACAACCACAAAGAGAGTTTTATTTAAGTATGCCTGGAACATGCCACCTTCTACGTCTTGAATTAGGTAACAAAGGAAGCTATGAAGAGAAATCAAGCATGGTGTAATCGCATAGGAGTTGTAATAAAAATTAGAAGAATTACCCTTAAATGTAATTTACTGAATCTCTTTTCATTTAGAAACTACTACAGATGGGGAGCAATCCCACTGATTTCAGTTGCAATCTCCAATTTACCCAAGAAATCTAAATGACACTCCCTATTACAGTAGATCACTGGGTTCTTTGGGATCCAGCAAGTCCAGTCCATACGGCAGTAGGAAACAGAGAAAGATGAGAACAAGAGAGGAGAGAATATACAGAAAAGGGCAAGCACAAGAAATACAAAACAAAGAGCACAGGCACCTTCTTCTACCAGCTACTCTCATTCAAATAAACTACAGTAGCAACGTTTAAAATACCAATACAACATCATTAATTACCATCACTTAAAATGCCTACACATTACTAACTGGAAACTAATTATAAGAAGCGTGCCAAGATGGAAGCAAAATATAAAATATCCTATCTCTACTAGCAAAAGAAAATGTGAACAGCGCAGAAGTCCTAGGGAGGGGTCAGTGCAGACGCGTGGGGTTTGAGCTGGCTGTAAAAGCTTCCCAGGGCAGGTGGGATGAGGCAGGAGCTTCCTCCCGCGGAGCTCCCCGATACAGAGCTGGGGTCTGGCTGCCCACACGTGTTTTGGCACAGACCTGCGGCCTCCCCACCTCTTCTCCTGGGTGCTGGTGCAGAGACCAAGGAGCCTTTCTCTGAAACTTGCCCTCAGGGTGTAGGCAGCCCTACAGCTGAGGCTGCTGGGCCCCCGCGGGGAGCCCCGGAGCCGGGCAGCGCAGTGCCGGGTGCGGCCGTGCCGGGGCAGCCTTGCAGCGCTCGGCGCCAGCCGCGATCCGCCGCCCCCGCAACAGCAACAGAGCGGCTTTGACACGGGGAGCCGGGGAAATATCCCGAATTAAAGAGAGGCCTTGTTGGTGAGCAGCCATCGGTAGTCGTGACACGTCCCTGCCCCGCAGGAGGAACACGCAATTTTCAAACGACGCCGTCTTGTTCCTCGGGGGCTGGAAGCTCACCGCCCCCCACCCCGAGTACAAATTTCGTGTCTTTGCGTTGTATCTCAGCTGGTATCGGCACCGTCTGCACTGCAGATTTACGCTCTGCAACGAAAACAGGAACCAAACAAATGCAGCCTTCACTTGTGGCGTAAGATACGCCAGAGATCAGGCCCAGCAGAGCTCTCTGCTGCCAGCCCACGAGTGTGTGGCACGCGGTGACACCAGGACTGGGTGCACTCACAGCCGGGGGCTCTGTGCCCTGCACTGCGACCTGGTGTGTGCAGCAACGGGAAGCACGTACTTGGATGGGGAGAGAAGGAAACTAAAATCGTTGTTAGTCGATGCAACATGATGTGTGCGAGGTGTAGCTGTGAGCACACCCTGCGCAGTCCCGTGGGAAACAGCCCCGCGGAGCCCCGGTGTGCTGGCTGTAGTTTGGGTCTGCAACAACCTCCTGTAACAAAAGCTGCGTGGAAAAGGGACACAATGGAAAGACCTGGAGGAGCTTTTCACGCATGGTGAAGGTCGGCTGCTCCTTACAGAGGCAGGAGAGCAGCCTGCCTGTTCCTGCACCCCCACCCACCAGCCGCAGCTCATGGGGCTAGTTCAGGGGCCAGGTCTGAACCACCCACCTACACAGTGACAGAGGGCAGAGCTTCAAACCCGGGCGCCTCACAGGCAGATTTACCCCGCTGGGACACACGTGCCCCCTGAGGGGCAGCAGCAGGACCCAGACAGACCTGCTGCTTGCTCTCGAGGCCAGTGGGAAGGGCACTTGCTCGCCTGTGCTCTCACCTTGCTCTCAGGGAAGGCAACAGGCAGCTTGGCTGCGCGCACTGAAATGCCCCAAATCTTGCACAAACAAGGCAAAGGGATTTACTGCTATGCCTACTGCTCCTGATTTAAAACACGACTGTCCAAATATTTTTACTTAAAGTGTCATTTCACAGCAGAAATATCACCTCGCTAGAGAGACACAGCAGCAACAGCAAAGGCGCAGTAAATAATTTGTTTTATCCTGGAAAATGGGGATGCCTATATACCTGCTCAATGGCTATTACTCGCATAAACACTTGAGGTTTTTTCCCAGAGGGCTGTGCCTTCTATTTTAGTAGCAGATTAGAGACCTCGGGGCTGTACCTCTCTAGTGGGTCTGCAAATGCCCTGTCCTTCATAAAAATCCATGCCCCATAATGCCAACTCTTCTCACTACTCTTCATTTCTAACACTAATTAGTTCTGTTTGGACAGAGAATTGTCCTTAATTGTGTCTTTCTAGAGCTGATGCTCCAGTCTGGCAGCAAAAGCTAGCGATAATGAATCCTGAGGTGCTCTTTTGTATTCCTTCAGCGCATTACAGTTAGCTGTCTTCATGGGATTTCTAGCACCACTTCACTGTCCTGATTGCTATTGTAAATCAGTAGGATATGAAGAATCAGCCTCTACAGGCTTAATAAAACAGCATATTTTAAAACAATAGCCTTAGTCATAGGCAGCATCTTTCCAGGATGAGGCAGTGTCAGACCTGTGAAGCAGGGCAGGAGCTGCATTTGGTGTGCCTGCCAGGCTGGGGAGCAAGGCAGGGAAGCAGCCTGCACGCCAACCCCATACCTCACGCTGCTTTCCTGCCCCTGGGCTGTGAACACAAGAGGACGGATCCTGGCTGTACTTGAATGAGAGGAGAGAAGGAGAGGCAAATATTTTTGGGAGAACACTATTGCTGTGTGATCCCCCAACTCACAAGTTAACTGGCCTGCAGAATCAGCCCTGCTTTCTCTCACCAGCTCCCCTTGCCCCGGGCTGCTGCCCCGGAGGAGCAGGAGGCACGGCCTCGGGCTCCCAGCAGGGGCAACAGGCTGGTGACCTGACAGCACGGGTCCCTTCACCCCCAGCACTGGGACTTCACTGCAGGGCACTCGAGAAGTCAGTGAGGGAAATCCCTGGCTACAGCTTCCAAGGAAAAACTCAGAATAAATGTCTTCGGAGGCCTAGAGCCTACTCTGACATGCCCCACAACCAGTATGCTGAGTAAATGTGCCACATGCTGGTAACAAAGACTTTTGTTTTACATTTTCACAATCAAAACATTCAGTGGACAGTTGTTAAATGGTTTTCAAGGGCTTTTTGTTTCAGGCTGGTTTCAATAGAAAGGCGAGCTGACAGGGCCTTGCATTTTCTCTGGTTTCAAGGCTACCGCTGCACAGGAGGTGGAAGCCTGCCAGAGCCACGCAGGAAATTATACAACACAGGGCACATTTCTGTCAGTTTGGCCTCCATACAATGACACCATGTATGGACCAGGGAAATGTAAGCAAGATCCTGAGTACCCTGTATTTTCCCTCCTGTCTGGGCTTTTCGAGACATGTTCGGGTTTTATATGCCAGAAACCTTCCCAGGCAGATTTTCCTGCCCTTGCTCATCTCATCCAGAATTCCCCGATGTTGCAAACAGGAAGCTGCTCTCCCCTGGCATGCAGAAAGATGATTTTCCTGCCCTTGGCTTGGAGTGTACCCAGCTAACTCCCCTCCCGGTGAAAGAAACAGCTATCACCCCTCTGCCCTGGCATCAGGAGCACCTGTAGCTCTTGCCAAATGTGGCGCAGAAGAGGAATAACAAGCTCTCCCTGTGTCAGGAGGTAAGGCAGAGGAGTCAGAGGTGTTTGGGGCCGATGATCCTACCTCTCGACACCCCTAGGAGCAGCCTTTCCCCACAGAAGCACAAGCACAGTGACAAGCACAGCCCCCAGCCCCTGGCAGGGGAGCACCTTCTGCAGGGCCCCTGGCCAGGAGCCCGCTCTGAAGGGCCGGCCCGCTCCCTCCCTTCCCCCTCTGCCTTTTCCAGCTGGACAGGGTGACACGTAATTGTTTTTTCTAGGCATTCGGCTCCTCTTTTCTCAGGAGATCCGACTGGACATTCGAAAGGAACGCAGATAAATTCCTCTCCTTTCATCAGCAGTTAGGTTTCCTCAGATGTTAGTTTAAACATCTGATGTCAGACGTGCATGCAGGGCCCTCAAGCCAATGTGAACGCATGCTTCCCTCTTGGTTTGTGTTGGCCTGCTAAGGAAAGCAACTAATATGTAACACATTCTTGGTGCTGTTAGGAAGCAGCAGAACAACACTGTGCAGACACCAGAGGAGTGTTCAAACTGCCCTCTCCACATGCCGTGCCTTCCTGCCTCACCCCCGGGCCCTGCAGACCCGAGCTCACCCGTGCTGCCTGCTGCCCGTGCAGAAGCACCCTGCTCTGAGCACGCAGCAGACGGTGGGTGCTTTAAAACACGCTTTGCTGGCTTTTTTTTTGCTTTTATTTTTTGTCAGGTGCTTACACTGGGTCTCAGGAGCCAGCGGGTACCAGGTGAGGTGAGATCCTGGGAAAAAAACAGAGCAGCAGCAGAAAGCGAGGCCGGGCCTGGGGGAGGCAGCAGCGTGCCTGCCGCGCTCCAGCCCCCCGCCGTCCCTGCCAGCCCAGCCTGGAGGCTTTCCAGGCCTGGAGCTATTTGGAGCTCCCCGACAATGGTATCGGAGCACACAGCAGCTGAGATAACCACTCAGTGGTACGGAGAACTACTTATTCCATGTCAATAACACAGAGAAAGACAAATGACAGTTATCTGTGATGCACGCAGGAATAATAGCTACCCGGGGCGCAGCCTGTCTCTGGTATCACCGTGAGTCATTTCTCTTCTTGCAGGAGCCCTCCCAGTGGGGCTCTCGGGGGGAATTTCCACAGCACGCTGGGCCCCTGAGCCCTTCAGGCAGCCAGGGGAAACCACAGCAGGAGGCTGCGCAGTCATAAAGCAGACAGATCCCTGAAATTTGCAGTGACTGCAACCCATGCCGTGTCTGGCTTTCAAACGTTTCACAGTTCCGCATCTCCCCATTTAGTGGGCGTGCAGTGAGAGCCTAGGAATAGGCAAATACATATATATTTAAAAAAAACAGCAGGTGATGCACTGGAGAAACTTATCAGTAGCTCCTCCACAGACCTCCCCATCCCTTCCCTTTTATCCACTGAAGGCTCACGCTGTACTTTGGAAAATAAAGAGGATTTTACTGCCTCAATTGTTAAGAGTCGTTTTCAATCTGCATTATTACAATAGGATGTGTTTTAGCTGTTCCTCTTTTCACTTCCAAGAGCTGGACTCGCTGATGGTCAAGATGAGCCCAAATTTCAGAGACGCTTCCACCTACCACTGGATCCTGCTGCCATGAAAATGAGGGTGGCCCCTGCAAACTCTGACAGGCGCCGTGCCGGGACACAGTCACGGCCAAGCTTTGGCGTGGCTTGCTGTTGAAATGGTTGCTCTCCCGAAACGAGAAGGTTGGTGCAACACAGGGCTGGGGTCTTTGTACGGACATGAGGAGCCAGAGCAGCGCTGTGTCTCGGTAGAGCACACAGAAGCCACTGCAGTAAGGCAAATTTTCTGTGTCCCACTGGAAATACCTGCAGTTTCCAGTTCCAGAGAGGCAGTGCAACAGTTCTATGGGGGGAGGAAGGGGAAGAGAGAAACCTGTTTGCCAGTCCTACTGATGGCTCCCCCTTTCCCTCTGCATGGTGACTTTCCAATTAACAGCATCACTTAACAGCTTCTCTGGGTCAGAAGTCGTCAGGGATGGTAAATGTACTGCTTGTTGTGCTGCCAGATGGGAAGTCACCCTTTTGCAAGGTAGACACTGAAACACATCGAGACTGCGATAATTCGTGTGACCCTGCACAGCCCTCAGAGATCATCACTTTGTGCCCACTGATCACCCAGCTGGGGTCTGAACAGCCATGCTGGCTATAGTGTGTCTTGTCTGCCGTGACTGTCACCTCCCTTCCTGCCCAGATATCCTAAAAATATTTGAACACGTACATAAAATACAACCCTGTGCAGGAAGAAAAGCTACCAGCAACTGGCAATGCAATATGAGGCTACAGTTACAGCATTCCTACCAAGGCTTGGGGAGAGGGAGAAGTTTCAGCCTTGCCAGCTTGGCCATTTTTCACGAAATGAACAAACGTAGTTTGGAAAAGAAAAAAAAAATAGTTGCCCCACCATTGTTATCGCCCTGCTAAAGCAATTTCCCTTCTGGAAATGTTCTTATTGCCTCCTCCCTGCCGTATCTAATGCATTTACAACTGAGTATGTGCCCACTAAGTTAAATGCTCGCACAAGTAATCCTCAGGGCTCCTTTCCCCTGCTGCAGCAGAGCTGAACACGCCAGCGAGGAACATGCAGTTTTAGGGTCTCCCTCAGAGCCTGTGTAACACGCCTGTCTTTGGGGCACTCAGACCAGATCCTCTCTCATAAAACTGGCCTCTGGCACCATCACTTGTGCGTCAATGCCAGGCCATAAGGCTGCTGGGAATACAATTCAGCTCTCCACAAAAATAAAGTATTTCCTGCCAACAAGCCTGTTTATGGATGTGTTAAGCTCAAGAGAATGGTATTTAGAGGCTTCACGTCCACTGACACATTCCATCATTCCACCAAGGAAGGAGAGGAGGAAAAACAAAATTGCCAAAGACTGGCAGAAAGTATTTACGCTTGGCTGGAACAGATCCTGCCTCTAAACTCGCGGCCCAAGCCTGCGATGCCACTGCCTCGGTCACCCAGATGTAACTTGTACAATAGGGAACTTGCAGGTAACTTGGATTTCTGCTCGTCACCACGGCGGTCATGGATTTCAAAAGCCATTTCTGTGGGAAGCCTGTAGGATGGGTTTTAATGCTAAACACTGCTCCGGGAAACCCCGAGTCCTACTACAACAAATATGCTATGAAACAATACATGAAGAATTGCTCCTGCCTTGAATTTCTGCTGATGGGCAGGACCAGTGGAAACTCAGAGAGCTTCAAGACACGTTGCTGCATTCCAGATTTAAGGGAAAGTCCATGTCTGCAGTGAGAAGATAGGCTACTTCTGCAGACAAAACTGTTCTGCTGCAAAGCTGTTTGCAGACTATGACCGTACAAATGCTTCCCAACTACACTAAAATCCAAACCATAACTGCATCCTGCTGTTTTATTTGGGTTTCACTCTATTTCAATTAACTCAGAAGAACCTGACAGCTCTGCAGCAACAGAAGGACAGAATGGGAAAGCAGCGGTGGGGGGGAGCTGCCAGAGCTTTTGTCTCTGTGAGGATGGGATGGGGAGAGGGGCAGCAAGCAGGGCTGCTGATTGATATCACATTCCCTCTCAGAGAGAGGGAATCAAAAGCAAATGGATTTTTGAATCACCAAGTCCAAGTCTGGTCACCTTGCAGCTGCTGGCTGTCCCCTGCACCAGTGTCTGCTGCCTGCGGGAACGGCAGATAGGCTCAACGGCTGGTTGCGTCCACTAATTACAACCAGCACTGAAATACTCACAAACATTTGCATTTAAATGTTGCCTCTAGACTGCAGGCTCAGTGTGCAAGGATTCACTTCTTTTGCGTCTTCCTCCTGCCACCCCCCAAAAACACGGTCGCTGTGCAAAGTATTTTTTTCATTTTTAATTCTGGTCCGAGTTCTTTGGTGGTGGGAAGGTCCAAGGGGAGCCACCGGGACCTCCTGGTTCACAAGCAGTGTCAGCAAGTGTTTTCCCATGCAGGCAGGCAGGGCACTAAGGAGCTGGTGAAGAGTTAAATCCACTTCTCCTTACAGACTCCACTCACCTCAGGCTGTTCTGTGTTGTTGCAGCACAGAAGAATACCTTGCAATTACTTTGAAAACTCTTCCATGGATCCATGAGGGTATAAATTTCATCGCATCTGAGGCTCCCATTTATCCCAGTACCACAGTTAGGAATTGCTGGTATTTTTTAGCATAGCTGTTGCTAAACAAGTTCCAGTGTGTTTTTCCCACGTGCTAGACAGACTTTCTACCCATTTCCAGACAGAAGTCTTCAGGATAAGGAGACTAAGCATTCAGGCTGTCTTGGCTGGCACACTGATTAGGGAGAAAAATACCCTGTCCATACAGCTCATGGAAACTGTGCTTGAGCCCCACTGGCAGTTGCAATCACATTTAGTACAGTCATATTTCCATTACACAGAGAGCCTTCACTCCAAAATTTATGTACAGTTTAATCCGATTATTTTTCTTCCCCATTTCTGCCTGACAAACTGTACTTGCTAGGCCCCTGGCTGGAAATCCATGCTAATCAACTTAAGGCATAGTAGATAAAGCAATTTTTTTTCCTCTGTGTTGTCAGCAAACCACATTTCATGACTTTACTCGAGTTTCTACTAAGGTCACTGGCATCTTCTCAAAATCCAGGAAGAAATAACAAGACCAGGAAAAAGCTACAGTTTGTGTGAATATAGAAACTGCCAGTGGAACTGCTCACTGGACTGGACTGGAGTGTGGGGGAGGCCATGGCTGTGAATAATGTTTATGCGAGTAACTTTGTTGATGGTTTTTATCCACCCCCACAAAAATGATAGTTTTAATTATTTTAACCACAAAATTTTGTCTCCTGCATCAAGCAAACTAAGTATTTAGTGACTGCCAGACTATTAAGAAAACTAAGTATGCAGTGACTGCCAGACTATTAAGCCAATGGTATGAGATATATTGATTTTGCAGTGGTAATGATCCTTACATTTTTATGTAATGCCTTTCAGGCTTAAGTGTCCCTAAGGCACACTGCAAGTTGCACCTACAAAAAAAGCACTTCAGGACTGAAACACCAGGGCTGCCTGACAGGATATTCTACCACCAGAGAGGGAGCAAACAGAAAAGCAAAATACACTCTTTCCCAGACAAAATTATTGATAGCACTTTGGGCAGGTTCAAAATACAATAACCTGTTTAGACATTACATAGCCATGTCTTACGTAAGGTGGAAGAAGTACTAGAAACAACAATCGAAACAGTGAATGTATTGGTCATGAAGTTTACCAGAGTTGGTGCAGTGAGAACTGCTGCACAAACAAACACCTAGTTAATGTGTAACTGTGCTGAAAGCTTTGGCTAAAACCTGGCTATTGATAAAAGCAGTTCGTCAAAACATCAATTTTCTCTCTCATTAGAAAGCTAATGTTTCTTCCAACAATGTTCTTTGTAATCAAATTGTGTCTCCCCTTACATACTCAGGAGGCAAATGCAGCATCTGAGTCATCAAAATCACTGTTAATTCCCACTCCTGTAACTCCTTCCCAAGTTCTAACCTGCAAACAACCTTCTTAGCCAAAGATCAGAATTCAAATTCCATCATTATTAAAGGTTTTCTGCATGCCTTCAAGCAAGTCATGTCACTGGTTTGTGTCCATGTTCTTGCCTGAATATGGAACAAACTTCCTGTTATTTCAAGGGTTTCTTAAGGATAAAGCTCACCTGAATTTTAAAGACCTTTAAGAGGAATGGAACTGAGCACCGTGGAAGGACTTTTATCAAGTTAAGAACATGAGCAAAAGAGAGGGGAAGATTAGAAGAACTTTGATCCTTTTCTATCTCACAGGAAAAATCTGAGATCAATCCTAAAAAACACTTGAGGGTATGGCTTGGAACTAGAAATCTCACCCTAGACCCACAGAACAAGTCGTGTCTCTGGTAAGGGAAGATGCTTACCGCCTGAGTGCGTTTGTGAGTTCAGCAGTCAGTTCACTCTCGTTGTACGGTCTCAGCTCAGCTAGTGTTAACGGCGTTGCGGTGCCATCGCTGCATTCCTGAGAAGTGAGGCAAGATCATCTCCATTGAATTCACTTACCATCTTAATGGAGAAACTCTTAAAAAGCTCTATGTACGCAGCTACTTTTGAAATGGAGGTGAAATAAACATCAGTGTCACAAAAATACAGCAGCACATCAGTATAGCAAGCAATGGACTAGCAAATTAACACTGTTCTATTGTTCTAAATTGTTCTAATGTTTCCTAAACCACCACAGTTCACTGATTTGCAAAATTTTGCTATAGTGTGCATAAGGTGGTGCCTCACATTGCTTTTGACCTCACACTTGAATCAAAAAATGTAGATGATGTTTTGTCAGAAACAGTTACGTAAGGGCACAGTTAAACACTACCTCTGGATTTTATTTTTAAGCACTCTTAGAAGCACTAGAAGAACAAGAGTAAAGTTTTTCTAGATATCACTATTTCTTCATGCAAATTATTAGTGCAAATGCAGAAATCTGTTTATTTTTTATTATACTAAGGGGAAAAAAGTTTTAGGTCTTGAATCATTACTGATTTTCAAAAGAGACTGTCATTGCAATGCTCTAACTGCTTCACAGAAATGTGCTCTAATTTTTCATGTTTGAGGCTTGGAAAGAATCATGTTTTATTTAGACTCTTCCACTATCTGTTTCCAGTGAGTGGCAACAGGCAAGACATAACACGCTTAGCCACCGTAGTTTGACAAGAGTGGCTTTGTTGTACTCCTCCCCAGAATGACAACCTTATTTTAGCCCAGGCTTAGCAGTAATTCTCACAAGTCACAGGATGGAAAAAAAACACCTAACTACCAGAGAACAGAGAAAAGACATGAACATACAGACAGAAGAGCAGAATGATTAACATGCTTAAAGACTGTTATAGAGAGGTGGGGGACACAATCAATTTTGTTTATGCTGATTTTAGAAACTGATTTTGACTCCTGACCTTGCCCAGCTTGTCCTTGCTTCCACTGCTTGTTGAGCTGAGAGACCTCATTCTCTGCTCTTTTTGCTCTTCCACTTCAGACTTCAAGTGCTCGATGTGAACAAGGTAAGCCTGTTCCTGGGCCTCTCGAGTGCTCAGTTTCAATTCCAATGCTTTCTTCTCTTTTTCCAGTAGGTAAAGCTGCGCCTTGAGCTCTGCCATCTCCTCCTGATGAAAAAACATTAACAGCATGATGTTTCATGGGACTAAATACAAAGAAGGTAAGATCAAACAAAGCGTTCTTCCACTACTTGAGTGTTCTTTCCATGAAGAACACTGTCAGCATCCAGAAGCCTTTTTATGACTGCACGCCCTATTTGTCAGAAGGCCACTATGTTTTAAGAGTTAGTACCCTGAGGTCGTCCCTCCATCTGTCTCAGATATAACGTGATGCCTGAATTAGAGTTTTGGGGATCTGAGAGGGTTGCCACAGCTGCTGAAGTTTCTTTTGTTCTACCTTGCACTTCTACCTCGCCCTTCATCCTGGCTAAGAACAGGAGTGTCTGATCTGCTCATCAAACAGCTCCCTAAATGACAGAATCCATTTTTTTTTTATTGATACATAAGAATTAGAGTTGGTTTATCTCCTTACAATGGAATATGTTTGAGGGACTAGGACATCAAACACAGATGACGTATTCCTGCCTCACACTAGTAGCCTCTGCAGTAGAACAAGTTAATTAACAAGTAGAAAAAGGGCAACTGAGTATGGCATCATCAGATATCTATTTTTAATATTCCTTCTCTAGATGGCCAGAATCCCAACTATATACAACTGGACGGTCACAAAACTGCACTCTCTATTATTCTTCCATAAATATTATCCACAGAAAATGGATACTGGTACCTCATAAAAGGAAACTCAATTCTGAAAGCTAGTTCTTGTGTGCAATTGATCTACCATTCTGATATTTTTGTTATTATAACACAACTGCTATGTGGGGAGAGTCTTCTACTCTAACATCTACTCTGACAGTGACTGGGAAAAAACATAAGAACAAGGCATGAGTGAGGTGACCCTTCTTTCAGCACTTGCTCCCAACCTCCCATGAATTGCAGCAAACTCAGAGCTTTCTGAGTAAGAAGGCCCTTGGTGTTTAAGGACTCTTCAGAAACATTTCTTCCATGGAATGCCTGATTATTCTGAACTCATAAAAACCCAGCACCACATAGCCTTTAGAGAAATAGCCCTAAAACTTAATGCAGATTATATTAAATAAATAAATAAACGAACCACACCATCGAATACACAAAAGACCCTCAAAATAACAACAACAAAAAAGTCAGAATCACATTCTCATTATTAGGTCATGGCAAGCTCTAGTCCATCCCACATGTTAATGGTGATTTCATGCAGTAACACAGCTCAGTACAAACTTGTTCACTTTGTAACTTCTCTGAAAGAGGGAAGTTTCCTGTTGGATGCCCAACCTAAAAACAAATCACTACTTTTTTTTTTATTATTTATTTATTTTTAAGGAAGATTATATAAACAATGTCAAGACCTATACAGATTTTCTCTGTAGAAGGAAACGTGTTCCTAAAAGAAATTCATTGTCTGGTTTAAATGTAGACAGTGCATACATGTATAGTACAGTTACAGAGAGCATACTGTAGCCAGGGTAATCACTGCCTTGTTCAGAAATACCATCCATGCAAAAATAAGATTGACATCCTAAAAACCCTCAGGCTTAGAAAGGTTTTATGAGCTTTAAAATCATTCAGTTTTTCATCTACTTGTTTGTGGATTGAAAGTTAGAAACACAATCTGTTTCATTCTATGTGGTTTACAGAAATTCAAATGTTAGGCAAAATTAACATTCATTTCCCTTGTGAACAGTAAAAATGTAAATAATGATGAGGCAACTTAGTTATAGCAACTTAACTGGATTGTCTGGTATACTTACGGCATATGCATTTAGCTTCTTAATCCTCTATTTTCAAAGCCATTAATCTACTTAGCCTGTTCAGTGAATGCTGAGAAGTAATTTAAGCAGAGTATTTTGGCACTTATATGAACAGAAAATATTCTTGACAGAGGGGTACAGCCAATCTACATGGGAAGGACATGACACAATCTTCCAAGACTAGAAGATGAAGCTAGGCAGATTTAGCCTAGAAAAAAGGGACATCAGTGTTCTAAAAGAAGGAGGAAAATTTAACCTCTGGAACAGTGGATCTATGGAACTTATTTTATTCATCACTTGAGCTTTTACTTAAAAACAGGATGTTTGTTTTTACATAGCTAAGAACAAATCTGAGGACCAATGGTGGGTTAATTACTTCTTTTATGAAGACAGTAAGCTTAGATCATCACACAGTCACTGGGAGTTCACAAATTTGTATCCTGTCACAAGAGAAATACGAACTCCCCAAATGCCCCCCTGTCTGTTAGTTTTTTCCTCTCGAGGCAATGGGACCTTGAAGAAGAGATGCAAAGAGAAAGAAAGGGTAAAGTGGAATAATTGAAAGGAACAGAATTGGATGCAATGGTAAGGTTGAAATTTAAAACTAAAACTACACCTGAAGATTCTGGTATTGACACTTAAAATCTGTGAGACAGGGTGACAACTTGTAACATTCCACGTGGAAAAAATTAAGTAACTCTAGTTTACTTAAAGAGATAATTAGCCTTTACATACACAATAATTGTTCTACGAAAGTATGTCTTCTAAGATAACGTCCAAGTTTCATTTCAATGACAGTATAGCCTTTGCATATCTACTACCATGCTTTGTTTTGTTTTGCTTTGTTTTTAATTACAGGATGCTAGTGAATTATTGTGTATTTTAACGTAGCAGCTTCTTCATAGCATGGACCTGAAGCAAAAGTGGCCCGTACAAAATGAAACACTGAAGGAGGAGGTGGACAGCTGTTGCTCTTCCAGATGATTGAAGACAACTTGGGTAACCCACACAACTTCATGAGCTTCAAGTGACAAATCACTCACTTCAGAACTAATTCACTGAATTACGTATATTTTGTATTTGTAGTCATATTCCAGTTTTGAATTTGGGTGAAAACTAGAATGAGAATGAAACATCCCAACTCAATACAATCAGCAACACCATATCATCCTCCAAATTAAAATTTGTGTTGGATGTAGTCACATCAAATTAATAAAACTGTGAGGACCCTTATGTGGCAAAAAGTTCTGGAATTCATGAACAGGGATGCCAAGTGGATCACTGTACACAAGGTGAAATCTTTCAGAAGAAAAACAAGTATTGGAGTTGATAAAAGTGGTGTTCTGGTTAAGTGCACTTTACTATAAACGTGTCTAAGAGTGCTAAATGTTGTAACAAAGGTGGACAAAAGTATGTTTAACATTTTCAGCAAAGAGTAGACTAATCTCAAAGCAATAATCACCACTTGTACACAAAAGAGGAAAATTATCTGTGTAGAAAGTGGAGTCTTCTTAAATAGGTTATATGTACTTTGAAATGCAGAAAGACTACAGACCAAGAATTATTTACACTCATCAGAAGTAATCTTTTTGCTAAATGGGGCATAAAAACAACTGACCTCAATACAAGACCCACAGAATGACGACAAACCACATACAGGAATATATTTGGAAACATGGTTAATTATTCCTTGAAGCGAAGATGTGGATTTCGCAGAAGCACTAGTGGACCACTAGGTCTTAGACTCTGGATCAGTTAAAAAAATAAACAAGGCAACAGAAGAACAGAACAAAATATGAGGCTTCCAAACACCAGCTCCAACCCATCCTTTTGTGGATCTGCTTCATTGGTAATAAAGAACAAATGGTGTAAAAGTATTATCAGAATTTCATTAGCATAGATGCAAGAAACAATATAACTGATGCAGTGATCAGTTTTCCTGTGAGTTGTAAATGAAAGTTGACAGAAGGTGCAGCAGAGATGCTAAGCAAATGCAAGTTTCAAGCACAAAGCAGCAGGTCATAAGACTCAACAACACAGCAAATCCTTGAGCAGCTCAATCAAGCTGTATCATCTTTGCTAAGAATGCGGGAGAGAGGAAACAGATAAAGAGATGCTACATGATGAAGCACAGATCGGTACATCTGCTTCAACTTAAAGAAGAAAGCAGACGTATACTATTCTGTATAAACTACATGATCCAAATAATAGATAAAATACTACACTCTGAAAGTCACAAAGCCTGTTTGTGAGTCCTGCCCATAGATTTAGCTTGGCACAGAGATGAGCAAGGTGTAACGCAGACCTAAGCAACAACCATGGATGGTAATAAGTTCGCACATCCTCTTGGGACCAAAGCATGCAAAATGTAGCTCTGACTCCATCCATGCTTTTTGTAATGCTTTACATGCTGAAGAAAGGCAGGAGCTTTCAATTTCTGTAGAAGCAGAGCACTTACTAACAATTCCTTTTCAAGTTTTGATGAGATTGAGTTTTCACCACATTCCTTTCAGAAATCTAGAGTTTTTCGGCAGTTGTGAATTCCAGCAAAGTACAGCAAATGATAACCAACAAACACTACTGTCATTTTCTCTGTGCCTGAAAGGACTGAAGGTGAAGCTAGACACGTGTAAGATGTGCATCTATTCCAGTATGCACTGCACTGAAACAATCAAGAAGAAAGATGACTTCTTCTGGAAACAATTCCTGCATTGAAAACCCAGTGTGCTAGGTGCAGCCAAAAGTTATGGGTGGACACCTTATGTCAAAAGCAAGTTAGATGATTGTTTAGAGAATTAAAGGATTACCAGCACTCAGAACTGTGCCAGAATTAATATGGAACTGTGGGTGTTCTCATCACATTAGGGGAATGCACGGGCAGTAATCACAAGGGATAGCCCTGCAGTTTGCACTTACTAACTGGTTTAAAAACAGAGGTAACAACAGTGTACACATACCACATGTACTATTGCAAAGCTATATTGTCATCAGATGGAAGGGCAGTGCCACTAAGAATATAATTGTCATTACTATGCCACCAGTAAGCCAGAACTAAGAGACCTAAACAAAAATCTATAGCTTTAGAAACTTATAAAGCTATCAGGATTTGCTGCCCCAGATGACACTCTAACTGACACACCTGCCAGTAGTTGACTAAAATATGACTTGCCAACAAGCAAAAATTAGACTTACCTGAACCGAACCAAAACCAGACAACTTCCAAATGCAGACACATGGTTACATTCCCTTTAATATGATGCTATGTTTTAGTTCACCTCTCAATTTACAAAGTCAATACAGAAATCAGGTTTAAAGTGCTATAAATTTTGTACCTGGTGAGTAAAGACCAGTTTGTCTAGATCCCACCTTTACGACTGGGCATGCAAAGCAGGCTCAACGGACTGGAGTTTTCTCCTAAAACTTCTGTTCCTGTTAGTCATTACAACTTCCACTCTTTGCTCCAGCTACAATACAACCTGAGCTACTAATCGCAACACGCTGTCTAGAACAGCTCTGGAGCTGTGACTGCGTAAAGCACTATGGATGATAGCTTCTGACAGACCATTCTTCCTCCCACAGCAATATTAAAAGGAGGAAATTTGTTTTGCTTCAGTTCACAAATATTTAAGATGCACATTTGCACGCAAGTAAGTGAAGTAATGAACAGTCTCTTGGGAAGTGCTGTATCATGCTTTTGGTCACCCTCAAGCGATTCAACTGCCGTATCTCTTAGAGAGAGCATCTGGTTTGTCAAGGAGAACATTCCAACTTCAGAGCCACGGATGAAGTCTTCGCCTAATTCAAAACACCCATATCTCGTCATTGCTAATGCACTGCCTTCTGTCACTTTCTGACTCCTGGATTTTCAGCCCTGATTGTTTGCTTCAACAAAGTAACCCCTTGTTACCCAGCAATCCCTGTAAGTGCCTCCCCTGTGTGTGACATTCTTAGCTTGTTTTGTAGCACAGGGGCATTGTCAGCAATGCAGTTAGCCTGTTGCACATAATTAAATTACCTTCATTGCCATAAGTTCCTGCATCAAGACTGCATTTTCCAGGTCTAGCCTCTGGCTGTCTCCACGAGGTTTAACGTCATAACTAAGGGGATCAATGTGGATACTCTCCAGCTCCAGCATTGTTAGTTTCACTGCTGCCCTGTCATTTTTCAACTGTTGGATGTAATCCTTCAACCGCTGCTCATCCTCCTTTGTAAACTCTGTATCACAACTGCTTGCAGTTGAGCTTGTAGTACTAGAAAGAGAAAAAACAGTATTAAAAATTAGGAACAAAATTTGTATTTTTATATCACTCTCCCAATATGAACATGTGAGTCTTACTTAGAAGTTCACAGAAAGGACACGTACTGCGGACTGGATGATGCAATATTCAGAAGATGCAGAGGGGTGTGCTAAATTCAGAAAAGAAATTAATTCTCTAAGCTGCATGAAAGAATCAGATCACGTGACAACTTCTCTGAAAAGCCAGATATCTACTGAGATGTAACTGAATTACTTTTTAGAGAACGGTGTCTTCTGAAATGAGTGTTTTAAGATTTCTCTGCAATACCCTAGCAGAGCAAGTTTCTCTCTGCTGCTCAGCCACTGAGTATTCATCTTCTTTGGGAAGAAGCATCTGATGAGAAAAAAGAATCAGCCCTCTCCTCATTTTTATCTGCTGATGGCAATACCAGTTACCAGGTCACGTATTTCTTAACAGACCGTTATAGGAATCAATCTAAGAAAAAATCCACCAGGTGCTAGCATCTTTCTATCCATGTTAAGGTAGATTCCACAGTATACTGACATTTTTTTAGGTTCAGAGAGGCTTAAAGTCATAATTCAGCAGGATTTTAAATAAAAAATCATCATCAGACTTGCCAGATTTTTTCTATGGGCATCGTTTCAAACAAATGACTCCCCATTAGCCTGCCCCACAAATGTTTATGAAGAGATTACAGAAAGGGATAACTAAGGTCTTGGTAAGAGCAAAGGTGTCTCAGTGCTGCCTCCCCACCGACAAGCTTGCCAATGCTGTAGGGAGCCAAGACTGATACAGCTGTAGCATTCCAGGGCTCAATACAGTTGCAATAACACTAAAAGGAAAATAAAATGCTGTGTTGTTTCTATAACCTCACTCAAAGCTGCCTGCTGTCTCCTGAGGTCCTGTAATCAGCTGCCGGGTGAGGGATAAGTCATCCATTAACTGTGTTTGTCTGGAATGCTAGATGATCTCAGTTATCAGCAGGGGAATAAATCACTTTCTGTATCAAATTGCACTGCTGTTCAACATTTTTGTAGGAAGAAAAGAAGCCCCACCCGCTACGTGCTGTGAGAGTCAGGATGATGTCCTAAAATATCTTATGCATGTGAAAAATGGAAAGCCTATGAAGATAGGCTTGATTTTTTTTCATTTCTTTCAGTTCTACTTCAGCTAAAGCTGCACTGATTTTTAAGTGCCTGAAATAATTGCTAATCTTTCCACACATTCCAAGCACAATCTTGGAGGAGATGGAGAGTTGGCAGGTCTACAAAGATTTCTCAAAATCTTTTCCCGTCATGAAATATTGCATTGCACTCCTTTCCTACAGTCCTCTAACAATTTCCCACTATTCCTATTTATTTATTTATTTATTTTTCCTTACAGGTGCCACATTTACCACAATGCTGGTAAACTGGCCTTTGCTTTTGTTTTCATTGATTTCCATCTACCATGAAACACAAAACACCCAGTACCTTGGCTGCATAGAAACTCTTTCAGTTTGAAACATTTTTTTTTCGTATGTGCTCTTTATTAGAGAATCTTGAAACACTTCATAAGCCTTGCTTTGCTAAATCCACTGGCACCTCTCATAAGTAGACACTGATGTAAAAATCTTGGGGGTAGACAATGTGAGAAACATTTATTCTATACTGAAGTCATGTTGCAAGTTTCCTCCGCACCCAAAGACAAAAATTGCACAGCTTTTCTGGATTAAATGTAAAACAGCTGTTGCTGGAGAAAGGACAGCTTTGAAAGTCTACACAGGCTTCAAATCTTGGGACACAAAGAGCTCCTCTTATTTTTTTTTTCACTTGTAAAGAAAATCTACCTCTCCTGCTGGGAATGAAACACAAGCAAAAATGTTGATAAGTCTATTGTTGTGTTAGGTTGAAAATCATACTGGATAGTCACAGATTTTGGCCCTTAAAGACCTATGGCTGTGCAAGTATATCTTAGGGGAGTGCAGTCCAAACTAAGGAAGACAGTCTGGGTTGCTGCCAGGGATACTCAGGCTGCTTTTACTTCAGTCCTGGCTGCCTGCCTGCCTGCCTGTCTGCAGCTGAGCTGGCTCCTCTGGTGAATTGCTAGCAAGGTCTTCTTCTTTTTTTTTTTTTTTTTTTTTTTTTTTTTTTTTTTTAATAAAAACAAAAAGAAAAAAACAAGGTGAAGGGAGTTTAATGGGGAAGCTTTCTCAGCCAGCACAATGAGGGACAAGAACCTTCCTTCTACCTCTGCATTTAGCAGCAAGCCCCCACGCAGAGGCAAGGAAGCAGAATGGGAAGCAGAGAGGCAGGGTGCAAAGCCCACCTTGAACAGTTGTGAAATCAGGACTACGTCATGAGCAACTGCAACAGCACTGCAGTGCTTCTGAACTCCCACAGCACAGCTCTGCCTGGGTGTGTTCCCCTAAAAGCCCTACCATACGTCTCTCCACAGACGTAATGCTAGTCCACTGCTGGTCTTTTGAAGGGTCCACAGCTGGTGAGCACATGATCCTGAATTTCAGATCCTGCGTTCCCTTCTAATGGCAGTCGGGACAAAGGAAATCAGACCAGCAGAATGCATGCTGGTGTGGTACGACGTGCAGTTTTATTTGCTGGCTTATGTGCGTGTGTGTATAGAAATGCAGTACATGGTAATGAACAAGTCTTCTCCCCAAAGTGTCACTGAGCAAATAACTTTTTTATACTACAGAATTTTGTCCATAAAACGTGTACTTAATATATTAATAATCAATTAATATAGTTATTAAGTTAATAAATTTGCAATTCATCAATAGTGTAGATAATACAAAGCTGACAGAACTAAAATAATACTGTCAGTATTGAATCCACAATACTTGCTTGAATGTCTACACACAACCTTACACTTCAACGAATAAATTTGATGGGTACAAAGCATGCATAAGCCAGCCATCTTCTGTGTGAATCTTGTGGCTTGAGATCTGAAACAGCACAATGCTGAAAAACAATAACTTTCAGAAAAACTGAAAAATACTACAACCAGTCAAAATACAAACAACAGTAAATAAGGCTAAAATCGGAACCTTTGGTGAATCTGCCCTCACTCCTTTTGAAGGACTGATTTAGATAGACAGATAGATGTTACATAGATAACATTAAGATAACTGTTAGAATACTTCTAAATAACTTATTTCCACATTTTAGACAATAAATTTCCACATTTTAGACAAGATAATTATCTGAAATTTTGAAGATTTCTTATCTGAAATCCCAGGCGATTCTGATGAGGGGTAGAGTGTCCAGGCATTCTGTGACACTGAGTATTTGGCTGTGTTCAGGTATTCTGTGACACTACATAATACTGACAAGGATTTCCTTTGCATGTAAGAGAGAAGATTTTGCCTGCTGTGAATCCAGATGTAAGGTCAGGGTCACTAGCAATGCAAGGAATAAACCCCATCATTTTCATTTGGTATTACAATTGCTATTTTTCTCTTTTGTTTCCCTCTTTTTTTTTTTTTTTAAGGTGCAATCAGTCAAGCCTTGTTGGCAATGCATGTTCCACAGTTACTTTCTGTCCATTAAAGTAATTATGACTTCAAACTACACCACAGACCTATTTCTATTTTCAAAAATTAATTGGCAACATTGTTGTGCTGCTGCCAGTCAAATGAATTGAGATGCTTGCTATTATTTTTATTCACTTCACCAGTAACAACCTCTGCAATGCCCTTTCATTTCATTTCAGTTGCTCCCTTTTACAGTCTTTAAACACTTGTCACTGGTGGCTCACCAAGCATTTTTTCTCAGTAATGTGTTCAGCGATTTGACATTCAGAATCACATTCGAAATGCCAAAGCTAAAGATGGGTCAACACTTCCATTATAAGTCCCTATTCTACGGGATTTCAAACAGCAGGGAGAATTATTCACTTGTCACAGTTCTCAGTGAAGGAGGGTTTTCATCACCTCGTCCCACTCTACTCACTTGGTTACAAAGGGAAAAGGTAGCAATGCACGTCTGCAACTAAAAGCCTGCAACACTACAACAGTTAGAGCAAAAGATCAGTCTTGCAGATTCAGAGTGCATTTGCACCACATGATGTAAAAGTATTTTCATTTAAGTGCAGTGGTCCCCAAATGTTGGTTCACACAGCACTCACCAGTAATGCGGGCTTGTTCTACTCCCCAGTTTTATAGACTGACAAGTTCTTTAAGACAAATAAAAAATGTTAAGCCTGCAGGAACAATTAGAAATCCAGAGTGTGTCCTCCTATCTTTGCCTTGATTGTTATTGCAGTGGAAAAGAAGAGGAAATGGAAACCATCAGTACAGAAGAATCACAGAGGGCTGAAAGTCTGTGGCGATGGGATGTCTGTCTAGAGCAGCAGGGAGCCAAGTGACAAGGAAGCACATATGTATGGATTGAGAGAGCTGGCAATATAGGCAGGGTAACACCAAAAAAAACACAAGAAAGGTCCTAGAGAGAAGAGAAAAAAGGATCCAGAATGACACGGAGAGGAGATTTAAAGAGAAAATCTTAAATTCTTTAAAACTGAGATAGCACATTCACTGACATAAATATAGAAAGCGTGTGCCCTTTGAACCAAGACAGATTTTCCATCTATGGGTTGCCACAAAGGTGTCAGGTGTCTGTAAACTGAAGAGGGAATGCTTCTCTTCTGAGACAAGATCCACAGGAGTGAGAAATCTGAAAACACCTCTATTGCATCATTTGAACACAACAGGAGGACAGATGATGATTTGTATTTCATGCAGGAGCTAGAGTTTCAGAAATGTTTTCACTAAACTTTGTGTTTAGACGAAGAAAAATCAATCTGGGAGCAGAGGGAAGGGGAGGGGCAGAAATATCTAACTAGTGATCAGATCAAGATGTCCATATGAAAAATTCCTGACTTGCTCTGTGCCCCTTGGTTGAATGAAAGAAGCTTTCTTTTCCCAGGTTCCACACATATCAAAGCAGACAATAATTGTTACCTTATTCAGTACAGTATCTTGCTTCAAACCAGAAAAAATTATCCTACAATGAAAATGACTCAAGCTACAAGATACCCCTCTTGCAAGAAAACACATTTACATTTGCACTTTTACATTTTATTCCACAGTTTATACTGATGAAATTTGAAATCTTATGCCATTTTAAGCACACTCTGCTGAAACTTCATTGATTGAACCAAAACGTTATATGCACACATACACATAGTGCCAGCTGACCTCCAGAAGTTCACTGTAAACAAAGAGCATGAGGGATGATTTTCATTCCCAAACACATACACATTTCAATCATCCCCCCCCCAACACATTTGAATCATCCCCCCCCTCAACAAAATAAAAGTGATGTTCAACAAAGCAAAGACTGAAAAGGCTATATACCTACAAAATGCCACCAGCAAAAAGCTGAGAGAACAAATACAAAAACAGCACCCCTTTACCCCCTTGACAGTTCCCCCTTTCTATACTGGGAACTACAAATAGTTGAAAAAAAACCACAAAAACAAACAAACAAACAAAAAAAGAACCCACCTACCCAACCAAAAAAAAAAACCCACACAAAAACCAAAACCAAAAACCAAACAGCTATGCCTCAACTACATACTAGACATCTCACAAGGAAGAAAAACACTGAGGTAGTTATCAACCAGTGAAAATGACCCTTTTAAACATTAGAGTGGTAAAGAGGCTCAGCTCGGGTAGAGATATTGCACATGTGGCCACTTGCAACGTGCTCAAATGTAGCTGTAGATAGGGCATAAGTGCACGTAGAGTAAGGCAAGTCAAATACTTGAAACAGCTTTTTGTAACCTTTTTCTAAAGTGGATCAATACTTCTTGCACGAAGAGTGATCAATGTGTTACAAGCACAGATGCTGCCAATATTAATTTCTAAAAAAAAGATACAGCTTTCTTGGACTGATAGAGCATCATAAGACTTCTTGAAATAAAGTGTTAAAGTTTATCTCAGATTTGGATCTTTGTGCTGATTTTTTACTATTCCATGCTAGTCACATGGCAGGAAATAAGATCCTTTGGAGGCGACATCAGCAAGAAAAGGAAATGATATAGTACTAAAATTTCTAAAAGTGACAAAAAATGACAGCATTTGAATAAAGAACTGGCTCTGAAATTGAATTAAAATAAATTTTTAGAGTGGATCTGAGGAACCAAAATAACTTTTAAAAAGACAAATGCTCATCTATATTTACCCAGGATGCTTGCCAGTTTTGTATCCATACACATGCACACATATTCATTGCACATAGTACAATTACACTGCAGGCAGGCAATGACTCAAAATGAATCTGCTAGCAGATGTATTTGAACTAGAACATTGCTGCAATAATAGCTCATTTAAGTTTCATTGTTTTACAGGTCTTCAGAAAAACTGCAATATCCAGCCCTTTTCTGGAAGAATCTGCTCTGTTGCTCACAGTGCTCATTTGCTATTTAACATGCAGAGGAACAGCATTGGAAGTACGAGTTTTTAGGGGGTCAAAGGGAAATGAGAAGTGAGAGGAGGTGTTTTAAAATGAATCGGCTGGATTTGCAACGTTTAAGAAACAACTCCTGAACATTCAAAAAACCCAGTGGAAGCATACTTCTGATCTCTGTTTCTCTGTACATATATGCTATCTCTATACAATAGATATGAACAAGAATTACACAATCCAAGTTTCAATAAAACAGCAAGGAAGTCACTGAAGTAAAACAAATGTAATGGTTTTGCCCTTTATAAGGAAGATCAAAGTTACAAATCACCCATTTGCAAAAAAACCTCCTGGCTGCAGTTGCTCAAAGTCTAAAGACAATTAGACCACTGAGCCATGACAACTTAAAAAAAAACAAAGCAACGAACTCAGTAAACCGAGGTGAAGAAAGTAGCTGAACAAATATAATAAAACATAACTTTTGGCCTGAAATCAAATGCTTGGGGATTAGGAGAGCAGATGAGTTGCAGTTACCTTGTGTGGCTGTTGGATGAGAGGCTTTCCCAGGGCTGCACGCTACAGCCAGTGATTGCATAGGCTCCCCCGCAGCTCCCATCTAGTTTCATCAGCAAGGCTTTTGCTGCATTCTCAGCTGTTTTCCTGCAGTCATGAGCTCTCTTAAGCATCTGGGTGATGTTTTCATCACCTGTCTGGTCCCCTAGTTTTCAAACAAACAAACAGTTTCAGAGCTTTGAGGAAGGTGATAAAAATTACAGCAAGAGTAGAGATGTTTCCATGCATTCTCAGCCTATACAAAAATAATGATAATAAATTACAAATCTGTGATGTAAAAGCAATTTCACTTCTGTGTGATCATCAGTGATAACTGGGTTTCTGGCCTGAATGGACCTCCTTCCTCTCCATAAACTCCAGGTACTTGTCTTAAGTGATATTTTACCTTAGTGAGCTCATCAGTTTGTAAGGACATGCCTTCCACATTAGGATTAAGTTGGGAGTCTCAAGTTAATAACACAATGGAAAACCACCAGGCTAAATTACAACTCTTACTCCAAGCAGTTCACTGCTGTTTCACAGCATAGCCATTTCCAGTGCCTTTTCTCAAAATGCTTTTATCTCAAGCCTTTTTCACCTGGAAGGATTGCTTTACTGTGTACAAGCAGCCTTTCAGAGTTTACCAACACGCATACCAAACCAAAAGAACACCAGCATTGTTGTTTATTGATTTGCTGTAATTTCTAGTGACCATGCAGCTGCTAAGCCATCCCTTCAGCAGTGGTAGGACAGAAATCACCACAGTCAGTACGCTTGTAGTCCTAACTGCAGCTGGAGTCAAATCTGTAAAGAAACACAACCTTGTGGCTAAACTGAAAGTCTGAACAAACATGCAATATATTCAAACTTTAACAAATGCAATGCAAAGATGTCATAGAATATAAACAAACAACAGCTTGCTGTATGTCAGACTTTCATTTCATCCTTATTTGAGTCAAAGACTAATTACCCATACTTCACACTTGCTAAGTCAAGTGCATGCAGTAGAAATAACTGTAATGCTCTGTTAGGAGCAGCTGGATGTGCACAGCTCTAAGTGATGCAGAAGCACCTCCTATGAGTTTCTACTCATGGATGTTGGTATTAAACTTGTCTGCTCTTCAGACAAAGAATCTGCTATTTCATCAAAATGTTTTTAAATCAAATTTCACAGTTAATAAAGGTACACAAACCATACACAACCTCCTCCAAAACTGTGTCATGTAGCATGAAATTGACACTATTCCTATCACAGGGCTGTAACTGATAATGCAATAATTAATAGTTGTCAACAGACACACATATAAAATCACCTATATAAAAAACACCTTCTCTTTCATAAAATGCATGTAAGATGATGCCCTACTGAAAATTAAAATATTTCTCCTTTCTAGGATTTCTGTCACCTATGTGGCCCCTGGTCACTTCCTGCAGGAAAATCACATTGTGAAGAGGAATAACCAGACTCTGGAAGAAAGGTGGGTGAAAAAGTCAGACATCCACTCTGCTGTTTTTTGCATGACGTGTATTGTACAGGCAAAGTCACTACACAAAGGCCTGCTTGTAGCACTAGAGGAGACACAAAATAAGCTGAATGGTTAACAGTACAGCGGCTGTGGGATGAGTGCATACAGCCTTCTGAAACTACAGTCTGTACCCATCAGTCTTGTGGCTCTACAGCCAGATGGTCACTTTGCTCCTAAAAGCTTTTGGTTTACATTTCAGTGATTCCTGAGAAGCTAGAGCTGTAAATTACTGTCTCAACCGTGCAGTTACTATGCCTCAGCCGAGCATGCAAAGCTATTCTCTCTCTGAGGGCTTCCCCTCTTCCTACTTGAAGATTACTATGACTACCTTCTCCTAACAGTAAGAGGAATGAGACTGTAAAATGCAGATTCAAATTTGTTGTGTAAATGCTTCTTTCTGTCAGTAAAAGAGAGACATCAGTAATGTCAAGTTTGAAACACTTCTGAACAGTACCCATGAAAGTGGTTCACTCTATTAATTAGAGAATAGTATATTCTAAAACAAACAAACAAAAAAACAAATCTCTAGCCTCAAAATTAACTATCCACAAAATAAGTAAAACCCAGAACATATAGACTAGTATCCCAGACAACACAGTAAAATAAGGTATAAAAGTGAACAATTTCAGAGCAAAGCTGAAATGTAGAGTGAAAAAACAGAGATTTTTTTTTCTTCTCCTTACTGCTAAATGTTACTTTTGTATTGTCTTTACCCCAATTTTAAATAGACTATACTCAGCTTTGGGGAGGGGGTGTCAATGTTGCTGGTTGAAACAAAATCCATAGTAGTATGATCCTAAGCCACACATGCTCAGGAGTATCAATTATTCCACTCTGTACAGTTGCATGACTGTAGCTGCCTCACCTCTACCAGAATAGGCATCTCCTTGTAATAGCACACACAGGTTAATTTAAATTGCTGGTGAATTTTATGATTTCATTCCAGGCTCTCAATTTTCCATTCTTCTTTGGGTGTGTAAAATTATTTACTTAGTCAAAAACAAGAAAAGAGCAAAGAGCCTTTTTAAGTGGCAGGTCATGAGTTGACATGCTGTTATAACTAACTCTAATGCTAATGAACGTAGAAAAAAATACAATAAATAAAGTGACTCATTGAAATCTTACCAACAGAACCAACTCCTGCAGCTCTGAACTGCCCAAGAATGAGACTCTGCTCACTTTCTGCCAGTGCCAGCAGCAGCTCATATGCTTCTATGCACTGTTCACTGAAAGAGAAAGCAAATGAGGAAAACAAATCACACAAACCGAATCTATAATTTGGAAGGGAAAAATACCCATGATCAGCATTAAAAGAGAGGTACCTGAGCTACGTGATTCCCTACCCTGAGTCTAGCAGCTGAGATATTAAAAGACATAACATACATGGCTTCTATCACAAGCACTCAACAGTCTCTCCTGCCTTCTGATGATCCCAGGCTGGCCTCAAGTAATTTAACAAGTTAAAACGGAAGATAATGACCTGATGTGAGGAGGTCTCCAGAAGCATGTTTGAAACAGTTAGTAATATGACTGATGGTTGAGATTATTCCTCTGAGAAACTCTTTTCAGGCCTTCCTACTACATAAAATGTAGTTTTCTATACTATACTATATAACTATATAATATAATATATATAATATATAATAAATATACTATACTATGTAACAATAATATATTGCAGAACAATTCTACACAAAGTATAGTAAGAATAAAAGAAAACGTAAGAAAAACACTTCTTTCCTGGCTATAAGATTTTCCTCCATACAAGTCAAAAGATACTATACAGAGTTGTGAGCCACTCGTTCCTGTTGTATTTTAATGCTTTTGAGAACAGATACGTGACTACAGCTATCTGCAAATCACATTTCCTTATAATTTGCCCAAGGCTGATAGTGACAGAATGCATTCTTTAAAAGGTACACAATTTCTACTAGGACCAGAAGTGCCTGTTCTAAATTAGTTGCAGTTGGAGTTGAGTAAGACCATCTTTTCATACACAGTTTAAAGTAAATTTAGATACTTGTAATCAAATACCAAGCAATTCACCCAAAATTCTTACTGATTTTGTAAAGTCGCTCTGAGTTACTCTGAGTGACTCTAAAGTCATTCTAAATTATATGGAGTACAGTAAAACTCCTTGGGCCACTGTTCTTGTAAAAGGTGCAAGACTAATACAGAAATACAGACTAATAGCTGTGCCTTAAGACCAGAAACCACAATTTAGCCCACGCCTACACATAACTGAAAGGAATGGAACACTTCTGCTTTCATAGGAGAGGTTTTCAGTATTTTTGCTTAGGAAATGCTCTGCTTTCAGAGGAAATGTCTGAAGCTACACATGATGGTATCTGAGTGATCGAGACACTGCACTTATGAATATGTTATGCAACTTAGAGAATCATGATGTTCAGTCATCATCAGTCCTTCTGCTGTATGACAAAAAGTGCTAGCAATCTTCATCAAGTATGATGAGTTCCTAGCAAGTATCTGAATTTTTCCGTCACTCACCTCCCAGATATATATATATATAGTAGTTCTAGGTGTGCACAAAGGTACAAAAGATAAATAAATTTTCCCAGTCTCAAATGTTAATTCATTGTTTGAAAATGAAAAGGTAAATCTATATATAACTAGTAGATTGAGTTTGCTGATGCTGAACTAGGGCTGAGATACACTTGTACCAATAAGTTCAGTTATCTAGTTTGTCAAGTAGTTTAACCAACGGGACTTTTTTCAGGGAGGAATCGAAAGTTAAGAGCATTACTATGGCACACCAACAATTTAACTCTCAGAGAATTCTATCATGTCTCCCCTGCTCCTCCTTTTTGTGGCTGAGCCACCCTCTGCATAGGTACATACCTGTATTGCAACGCAAGTCTGAGGGCTGTGGCATTGGACTCATACTTTCCCACAAGCATGCTCATCCTCTCAGCATTGCTCTTGCACTCTTCCAGTGTTATTGTCAACAAGTCATTCTGGGACTTCAAGTGCTCAATACGGCTGTTGAAAAGGAATTAATTTTAGCAACCTTCAAGCTTAGCTTGCAGGCACTGTCCTGAAAATTCTAAAACAATTGTAATTTAAAACAACAAGACCATTTAAAAGAACAAGACCACTTGGTCTATTGACAGCAGTAGACCAATGATGACAGCAAAACCTATCAGTTCTGTGTCCCATAGCAAGAGCCAAGAGGGTATCTGCTTCTCTTTGGATAGCCTCTTCTCATCTCTTTCCTGTAAAATTTAGTAAGTAAAACGTAACCCACATAAACATAAGTAAGTGAAACAGCAGCAAGCAGAAAGCTGTACCCTTATTTTGTAGCCACAAGACCGCATATGATCTTTATTTTATTAACGTTTTCCTTAATCTTTCTGCCTCCATTCCTCACGTCCTGTTACCACATTTGCTTCTTGTTTTATGTGTTGTGTTCATTAATGCAATGTGTGGGTGCGTGTGGGGATTATACAGCTACATAAATGTCCCTTTTCTTTGGACTGTTTAGAATAACTGTCTCATTTAGAGTACAGTTTTAGCCATGATTAAAGAGGTAACTTCCAAAATATGAACTGAGTTTCAACGACACAATCAAATCTCCACAAATTTGGCAATGTTCAAATCATTCATTGGTCAGCTTGTATCAGAACTTAATTATAATATTTTTCTAAATGAGACAAACTCTGAATCTGAAAATAAGGCTTCAGAATATTAGAATTATTGATTATTCTCACTGCTGCTAACAACACATCAATTATTATGTCTAATCACGAGAGTTGGACATATACTGTGAACAGACAGGTAAATGATTTCAATGTTTAGGTGGGTAGCTAATGAAGAAATCAATGCCACCATCAACACTGAAATCACTGATTTCTTAACAAACACAATAAAGAGAAGGGCTAGGATACTATTTCCTCAGTGATCAGAATGAAGCCCTGACTTCCCCAGTTGCTAGACCTTCCAGATGCTTCATCTCCTATTTCTTCTCTGACACCTCCTGTAATGACACAATGTCAATACAAAATTCGTGCAGAGAAAAAAAAAAAAGGATGAAAAAGATTGCAGTACTATTGAAACAGGAGCTATGAGTAACAGAGATATTGTACTGATCAGACTGAATTTGAGATAGCTGTGGGAAATAAGTTTGAGATAATTGTGGGGAACAAAGAACTTTAAAGAACTCTGAGACATGATTCTCATGTTCCTGATTCACAGTTTTTGATCTTATGTGCCAAACAGGTCACTGAGGCATTGGTTTTGATAGAGCTCACTGAAGGATACCAACAGTATTTTAACTGCAACAAGAACACTGCAATCTTTCTTCTGCAGCCAGAAGTCTATTTAATGGTACACATGCCACACCATCATGTATCAGTACATCTATTGATATGATAATGCTAGAATTCTGCTTCTTCAGGACAAAGCAAAGCAAGCTATTTCCAGAATGATGGATAGTAACTAACGGAAATTTATAGCATTGATGTGTTTTATGGAAAAGGATGCCATATCTACTTGGTTGGCCATAGTGAAGGACACTCGATAGTGCAAACTAGCACAGACGAAGGCACTGTGCTGATCTAATAATAGATGACAAAATTGTCATACTCATGGGAAGAGTCCTTAGCATATGATTCAATCTTCTCTTCATCAACTACATTTCATGCTTATCTGCAGCTGCCACAGTTGAGCTTGGACTGAACCGTGAAATACATGTATTCAAAAAGAGAAAAAAGTAGCAACTTCAACAGAGATAACTGCATAACACAACTGAGCACATCTAACTTTTCACCTTACCTATTTAATCTCTCTGTCTCCACTTCAAATTCTCGGATTTTACTTTCAGAGATAGCAGATCCATGTGAATAAAGTGTCTGGAAGATTTCCTGGATGTTTGAGCAGTCTTGAAGGGAATGTGCCAAATGTTCAGCCACAGTACTAGACACCTGCACAGAGTAGTTAATAGATTATTGTGAACAGCAAGCAATCAGATTCCTCTCAGAGGTAGTCTGAATTGAGAGCTTTGTTTCTCTGCTCACCTCAAGATATTCATTATTCATTTTTTACTATGAATTTTACATTCAATAGAATATTTATAAATTTCTACTCTAAGAAGCTATTTTTATTTAAAAGTCTACAAACCAAAGGGTGAAGCCCATTATTTAATGATAGATTTAAAAAACCTGAACAGCAAGCTGTTTACTTTCTTGAAAGCTTAGCAAAATGGCAGAGCCAAGCTCTTCAGTGAAACAAATATTAACACACAGGAGCAACAGCATGGTGGATTTACATTGGCATTACAAAGCAGAATCTGTTTCTCTGTTGGTTTGGAAGTTGTGGAATGCTACCAGTCTTTTCTTGAGAAGTTACATTTTGAACTAACTGACTCCAGAGTTATCCTCTTAACATTACTCAGGGAATGATTTCTAGCCAACAGTCATCAGAAAATGAGATATTGATATCAGGTGAAATACTCTCCATTGAGATATTTTTCTCAATATAATTTTTAAACTTTCTTTAGTTAGCTCATATTTTAATTTAGGAAGAAAACAGTGCTAATAGAACACAATTCATCTTTAGAAGATTTCATGCATGCATGTAATTATTGGTCCTTACCCCTATGCTGCTGATTTCTGATCCTAAGACAGGTCTGTCAGATGATGAAGACTCTGATCTTGTCTTTGACAACTTCACTCTTTCAGCAATCTAGAAGTCAGAATGCTGTACAGCTTACACAGGACCCATAAACATTATACAAAATGCATTTGTTCACTAGCCGTATTTACAAACCTGAAGTAAACTACTGTAGAATTGACACCTGAGTTGTAACTGAGAGAATTACAATCATTGGTGCTTTATTTCTTCCTGCTGCTGAATTTCATGGGACTGCTTAGGACCCCAGAAATTTCTCAGGGGATTCTAGATATTTCCCAGTTAATTACACCCCTGCACAGCAGCTAAAGGAAGCCTGCTTCTCACAGATGATGTGAAGCACAACTGAAACACACTCACCTTGGCTATGGGAATGTCATTACTACTGCTGCTTGTGCTCAGTTCTCCTGTGCTGGGGTTAATGGGTCGATTTGCAGAAGTGAGACGACTTGGGCTGGATGGGCCTGTTGCCTGCACACTTTGCAAACGCGTCTGCAGTTCCCGAACCTAAGGATAAAACATAATGTTCTGTTTTTCGTCTTATGTTTTAACTAGTTCAGACAATTCCTCATCATTCTAGCCAAACCATGGCTTGAGCACAGACGTATTTTGTCCTGTGGTGGCTGCTAAGTTTTCATGTGGGAGCAGATGCATGGACATTATTTTAAAACTTCATTGTTGTCAAGTGTTTAAAAACTATCTGCCACGTGCAATATGCAAATGTAATACGGTAGAGTAATTACTTTATGTTTCATCTTGTGTCATATAACCCCCTTCAGTGTAGCAGTACTGTAAATAATGAAACTTCTCTCTGGTGTGAAGCTAATACTCTAGCCTTAGATTATGATGTCTAAAGAAAAACCAAAGGTCATGTTGTTAATGGAAAGCTCCGGTGTTGAAGAAACTCTTGACATAAATATATCACAGGATGACTTTGTCACATTTAAAGGTCAAAAAAATTCAAATGTTAATCATGCTTTCAGAACTATATCTAAGAAAAGCTACCACACAGCGAGCAATGTACAGAGAAGAAAATAGAAGCAAAGTGCCCAACCAACAGTTTGCAGAAGCTCTCTGCAAAACACTGTTCAGCCCTCATAACACAGCAGATACTTGAACAACTGACGTCAAAAGAGTTTCAGAACCTGCAAGGGGGAGGAGGAAAGGCCCGAAGGAGCCAAGCTGTACTGCTGAGCAAAAGATTATAGTGTTTACCTTGGAATAATTCTTAACAAAGAATAAACAGACTGCTTAACACAACAATTATGCCACAAGGTAATGTGACAGAGCTCATTTTTCCCACAGAATAAGCATCCTGGTTGGAAACAAAGAGTGTGAGACATAAGAAGGGGGTGGAAACATAGAAAGGAAGTTTCCCTGAATGTAGACTGTTTACTTTAACATGCAGGTTTTTACATGGGTTGTGTTAAAACAGTCCACCTGCAAAACAGAACTGCAAAACAGAAAATTTACCACAAGTTCAGTCTATTTGATAATCCCATGAAGCATGAAAGGCAGCTCTGATACCTATTCTATAAAAACGGTGGGATATCCACCTTTATATAATACGTTCAAAGAACAGATTAAGCAAGCTGAAACACCTTTGTCAGAAAACATCAAAGTTGCATTAAAGCTTTGGGTCTTCTTCAGCTATAGGTTCACTAAATGCACCATCAGTGCTTCAGCAGTCTCTGTTTGAAGGAGTGGCAGTCAGCATGCTCTCTGCATGTGTACAGATCCCTTCAAGCTACTACAGAGAGGAAGGAATTCAAGCTGGAACTCTCTCCAGTCACCAAACTAGTAGTATCTTACATTTCCTACAATTCCCCATAGTCTCCTTCTACTTTCCTGAAGAGTCCCGTTCCCTCTGCCTCAGCCTTTAGGTAAACTGAAGGTCAGGTAGTCTGAGGACTTGCTACAAAAACAACAGAATTTTTAGGTAGGTGCAAATCATGAGGAGGAAAAACAAACAAACATACAAAAACAACAATCAGATTCCTTACATAGCAAAGTAGAACAATTGCATGTTCCTAATAAAAGGCTGCAGGGGGCAACAATAAGAGCACATAAAAGCTAACTGCACTCATAACTTCACTGTTCAGCCATGGAGGAGTGCTACACCTTAAACAAGGTGAAGCCAAATAGCTCCTGTGATTTCTCTGATATAAAAAAAAAAAAGTGAAGTATAAAATACCTCCAAAGGAAATCCCCAATGAAGGAAACATGCTGAAAAATTGATGCAGGTATTTGTAATGAGACTTAAGATGTAAAACTCTATATAAAATGCACATTCAGAACATCTATCTTCTACTTATTCTCAGCTAGGGGTTCCATTGTTCATACAGACATATATAATTTCAACATGGGTACAGCTTTACTAATGCAAACCTTAAGGACAGAAGTGCTGTACTGATGCAAACCAATCATTTTAGCCTGCTGATATGCATAAAAATGAAATAAACCATGTATGTATGTTTATACTTGCAGATGTGGTATGCCAGTGCAGACAGGATTTGTACTGCGGCATTAACACTCACTGGGAAAAAAAAAGCAACCCTAAAATTTCATTAAATCAAAATCACATTTATTATTATTTCTTTAAAGCCATGCTATTCTAAACTAAATTCCCAAGTGCTTAAGTTAGAGCACTGCTTATAAGCATACAATCTGGAAAATCAGTAGGGATACATTCTTCTTAAAATCAAATCCCTGTCTTGATGTCCAACTCAAAAAATGCTAAAATATTTACCTATGTCTAGAAGCTAGCCCTGGAAGATTTCAGTCCAAAAGCAAGTAACATTCTAAATGTAACAGCAACCAGGAAGCACAGTATTGAAGTTGATTAAAATACCACTTAATCATTTACTCCAAAATTTAAAGCTACCTTACGTAAGGACAACATTAGATAAAACTCTAATGTAAATAGGTTTCTTTTAGTCTATGTTTAATTATTTATTATACTAGTGAGAAGTAATTATTGGCCACAATTACAAAGGCAGTTATTCTTATGGATATCTAAAACAATATTCATACATGTAGAAGAAAGAAAAATGAATGTAACTGAGACTGTAGTCAGGCAAAGCTTTGCTCAGGAGAACATTTATAAAAGAAAACACAGAGCACAGCACAGTTATGAATTTGTGCAAGTCTTTGCTTTAATACCATATCATATAAGAAACCACAACTTAAAAAAGCATGATTAAGCTGTCTACTTTCTTGATATATTTACTGATCCAGGCTTTCATCTGAGAAATTACACGCTGAATTAGCTGCTATAAATAACTGCACTAACTTTAGCAACACTGAGTACTGGATGGTAATTCTCTACAGGATAACAGAACAATTTTGTCTTACCTGCAAAATCACTGATATTACAGTTCATACATTCATGAGTCAGAACCTCATAATGAATTGCACCCCTCCAGTCTGCCCAGAGACAGCTTAGATAACTATTTCTGGTCACCAAAACTTCTCTGTAAATACAGCAGTATGTACCATCTCCTCAGAAGGTACTTTTCCACACTAGTAGTAATAATTTTAATGGAACACTAAAGAACAGGAATCAAGGTAAAAAAAAAAAAAGGTTTAAGAGGTATCTTCTTCATCAGACTGGTGAATGCATGAGTTATGAAAGGACAGGTTTAAAAGCCATGACTAAAAATTGTCTGACCACCTCATCTACCATCTTGAGCCTTGTCACCATCGTGATATAAATTATTCTGAAGGATTCCTATTTTTTTTAGTAGATAGAAGGTAATTACAGTACTACACACGGGACACAAACAATTAGAAACAGGTGAGAGAAGAAGGGCAGATCTTACAGGAAATTAATGGCAAAATTGGAAATATCCAATGGATTAAGACAAGTTTGGCAAAAAAAAAAAAAAAAAAAAAGTTCTGCTAAGAGACAGGAAAAAGTGGATTTGTGAGTTGGGAAGGAATAATGTGGAAGGATTTAAACAAAGATTTCTTAAGTCATTGCGTCATATTTAGTTCAAAGATGGGAACATCCAGAAGGATTATCAAAATTGCTGTAAAGTCCTAAAATTCTAAATTGAGGTGGAAAATGGCAGACAGGCAGATCTAATTATATGATCAGAAAAAAACAGGCTGAGGAGAGACAGAGGTTAGGAAACACCTGTGAAATCCACAACCGGAAAAAAAAGAAAAAAAAAGAAAAGTGGAGAAGGAGAGATCTCAACAGCTTGAGAAAGCCAGAAGAATTAAAGAAGTAAAGAAGTGTTAGAACCTTGGAAACAGCAGCAGAGGGAGCATTAAGGGACACACGGGGCAACAGAGTCACTAGACTTCAAATCAATAGCCCAGTTACCAATATAAGCCAAGTGCAAATAGATGTTCTCAGGTAATTACTATAAACTTCCATGACTTCACATTTTATTTATTAATTTGGTATTTAGCAATTGCTCAGTTGCATTCCTATTTCTTTTTTTTCTTAGAAAGCTGAGAACTGGAAAAGGAAGTAGGGAGAAAAAGTGTAACTTCGGTACCTTAAAGACTAAATAAAAAGCAAACAGAAGAAAAAGGGGGGTGACATGCTACAGTGATGTTGGACTTATGAAAGACTTCAAAATTGATTCAGAAGCATCACAGACTTGTTTGCAGAAATGAAAAATAGGTTATAGAAACTACTTTAGTGGAACCTGCTCATTGTCTATAACAATAAGTCTAAGAAACATAATTTACTCTTTGTGTTTTACACATACAGACTCACAACTACATGATTTCTTGGCGAACACTGAGTAAAAACCAGAAATTATCCATTTTTACTCATTTCTGCATTCAAAGGACACCTGCTGTGTTTGTTCCTAAACCAAATAAGAGGCATGCCTGAGATTCTTTTCTTTCTACTCTACTTGGGACCTGACTCTTTCACTATTCAGTATCTTTGAACCCTTTATGTAACATAATTGTTTGTTTTCTAGCATTTTAGTACCACATCATTTTTTTCCTGTTATAAACAGGATGAAAATGAAGTACAACAAACCACAGGAAGTGAGTATCTCTCCCACTTTCCATTTTACTTATGCATGCTGCAGATCTGTGGAGAAGGTGGAAAATGCAATACTCACGTGACGACTCAAGCTGCTCTGAGCGGTGAGGGCCTTCCCCACCTTGGGCACCCCAGAAACATTCACTCATGCCTAGGGCAATTGTTTTCAGTCACATGTAGCTTCTCATATATGTTTGAACAATCACCACCGACAGGCCTGACAAGGCCTGATTTCCTACAAATTGTTTTGGTTGACTGAATATAGCAGTCTTGAATTGCTGTAAGCCTGCACCGTACAGATATATTTCCTTGTATTTAGGGGAGCCTTCTCGATGAATTCTCTGGAGCCGAATCAGTTCAGATGAAGCATCTACAGAATCTCTTTCCTCTACAAAGAGATGTAATTTCAAGAAATACATAGGAATTTAACTGTCACTGGAAGCTCTACTCCTCTGGCAGGATTGAAAATCAATCCAGTTTGAAAAATTACATGTAC